TCTACCTCCAAAGAATGACCTGTACTAACCACCACCACAACATCTCTAAATCCATCATCTAATAATTATGCAAGTTACTACAAAAGTCTACATTCACAAAATACCTATAACCGGAATTTACTTTGCTATTCTTTGGACCCATTGAACACGCAACATTCAGGCGCTATTTCCAACCAGGATGGTAGTGCCCGTGGTCACCACCATCCCTACCCAACATCCTCATATCATGGAAAACCTATTGACACCATGAGTTTCCACCAATTTCAACAAAATTATGCAACCCATTCTTCCAGTTTGCACACAGTGTGCTCGCAAAAATCGTTTTTTTCCTCTGATTCTTCTCTGACACCATTTTGATGAAAACCGTCAACTAGTGTGTTGCCAAGATTTGGGGCTAAAAGGTAATATGGGCTACCAAAATTGAAGGGCTATCGGGGTTGCACCATTTGGTTTTACAATGGTCATATTTTATTATGGTCAGATTTTGTTGGGTTATAGTGGTCAAAAGTTGAGTTACCATTGGGAGGATTTTGTTAATTATTTTTTGATGGATTAATCATTTTACTAGACTTCTATTTGTTAGTGGCAACGTTGAAGTTAACCAACAATGGTGTTGACGGTGGTTGCCTTTTTTAGGGGCAGGGCAGGGTTGGGTTGGGTTGGGGGTTGGGTTGGGTTGGGGAAGAAGACAACCTTTTTTATAATATTTTCTTATTCTTTCAGATTATTTTGGTTTTTTTGTTTGTTTATTTATTGTGCTACCCTTATTAAATTTGGTCAAAATAATTTTTTGGTCACTAATAGAAAAGCGGATGGATTCCATCCATTTGGCCTCTAGATGCACATTTTTGAAAGGCTAGGGACCGTTGGTAGCACAAATTGAAGGTTAGAGTAAAGTTTGCAAAAACTGAAAAGGTTAGGGATTGCTGCTGCAATTTTCTCTATTCTAAATAGAGTTCCATCTAAATCGGTAGATCCCCTTATTTGAGTTCTCTTAGATATTGGGGATCAACTGCCTATATCCATGATTCCTCAAGTAAGTATGGAAAATTAGGTGCTCGAGGTAAGAAGTGCATCTTTATACGATATTCAAACCAGTCCAAGGATATAAAGGTAAAATCAAAATGGGACTATAATTGAGATAGATTCATGTCATGTGATGTTTCTTGAGATTGATTTTTCTAGTGAGGGGGAAATGAAAAAAAGGAGAAACTTTATATGAATTGGATGATAGAGTTGTACTTGATGGATCAACTGAGGTGGAAGAGGAAGCACTTTCACCTATCGATCCAAATTGGAGTAATTTATCTACAACTCCAAGTGACAGGGTCACATCGGAGCTTTCACTTCATAAGAGTACTAGAAAAGGTATGTTTAAACGTCATTTCGAGATTGAAGGGCAAGTTTACCAGTATCTCTAGAGGATGATGAAGATCCAAAATCAATACAAGAATCTCTATCATACCTTGTAAAGGAAAAGCGAAAGAATGCAATGGAAGAAGAGATGAAGTCTATGAAATCGAATTAAGTCTGCGACTTGGTTGATCTTCCATTGGTCAAAAGTCATTGGGAACAAATGTGTTCTAAAAATAAAGCAAAGAGCTGATGGGACAATAGAGAGATATAAGGCTCGCTTGGTGGAAAAGGGCTATACTCAACAGGAGGGTTAGATTATAAAGAGACTTTTTCATCAGTAGTGAGATTTACTTCAATACGCATACTCTTAGCTATTATGGGGCACTTAGATTTAGAATTACATCAAATGAACATGAAAATCGCATTTCTCAATGGAGAATTAGATAAAGAAATCTACATGCAACAACCAGTAGGTATCATAATAAATAAATATAGCTCAAATTATTTTCGAGTTCTACAAGAAAATTTTATTTAAAAACGACAAACGATATTTTTTTCTCAGTCACTACAATTGCAACCATCCCAACAATAGACCAAGATATATATGGTGATGAGGAGTATGATGACACGAGTCTCGAGGCATGGGTCCCAAATACCCATATGAATTTGGAAAATTTGCATTGTGGTCTTAAGTTCTTAGCCAAAAATCGGAGGCGTTTGAGCTCTAATTGGATCAATTAATTGATTACCCAATGCTGCGTTGACCTCTATTTTATGAGACCATAGGAGGGTGCAGTTTGGGTTGTTGTATCGACCGATTAGTGGTTGATGGCATGGGTATCGCCGAAAGTTGTGGTGCTATTTTAAGAAGGTTTGCGGTTGGCCTTTTTGGGAGGAATTTGTGGTCTATTAAGGGTGTTTTGGATTGGACAAAGTGGTGAAATGTGATGGCAGGAGTGAAGTGAGTCCGGCGATAGTAAGGTGATGTATTGGCTGTGTGGAGATGGTCGTTCCATTGGGGTAAAAATCACCCCCCAAGTGTAGAGAGTAAAGGCAATTTACAATGGTGGGTTTATCATTACCTACACTTGGTAAGTTATAAACTCTGATTTATTTTTAGTAGAATTGTTGCCCTTTGAGTTAGTTTTTCAATGCGTTTTGAATCACCGCAATCAAATATTGGGAGAAAAAGTTTGTATCAAAATATTGATGGCTGTGCAAATACATAATCATGTGCATAAGAAGACAATTTTCCTTATTTGATTGAAACTCTTTGGGAACTCATTTTGGACATGTATATTTCACCTAATTTTACCTTATATGGTAAAGACATGGGCATCCATTAAAGAATCTCTTTCAGCGCCTATTATCATAAAATTTATCAGGAGCAAAGGACCAATTGTTATATTTTGAGAGAGAGGATCAAACGCTAGTAAGGAATTAAGCCAATTACATCAAAGTTAAAAGAATTAAACCTTGAAATCGAAGAACCAAATTTCTTAGATTCTTTCATGATCCAAGTGATAATTTTCTATTATTTTTTTTGCAATTTATATATTAATATGTTGGACCATGTCTTTATATTGGATTGGATAATCTCTATTGTCTCTTTATTATAAATTCAAGACTAGTAATTTAGTTAAATTCTAATTTTCTTAATTAATTTGCATACCCATTACATTATTTAATTATTTGACCATTAATTAGATAATTAGTTACTTGCAATCTTCGTTTACAATAAGTTTAGAATGCTGGAAAATTAATATATTTGCAATAAATGTTAGGAATAACATTTCTCATGTTTACAATCATATTGATAATCTAAAATTTAATATATTCTAATCATTCGAATTCGGACTAGAAATATGTTCGGATTGTGATTAGAATAAAATTAATTACGTAGGCAGATTCCAAATGCAATATAATCATTCATAATTTGATAAAAACAAAACTTTTACAACTTTCTTAGATTAATTTAGATAAATCAAATCAAAAACTCTTTTGTGTTACACTTTTAATAACCTATCCACATTCACAAGACAATATTATCAATTGGAAAAGGCTATTAAATGTAGTTCTACTTTGGCAACATTAATTTGAACTCCTTACGAAACTAGTAAACTTAAATTGAAATTTATTCTTTGTGGGATAATACCCTATCTCATGAAAATTATTAGTTGTCAACAATCACGTGTACTCGTGAAATTTTACCGAACACCCCTCTCCTCCTTTACCCACAACCTTACCCTTTAACTTGCTCACCATAACTCAAGAAAACACATTTTTAAGTGATCTAGGTTTTAATTTTCTTATAGTATGTTGAGCACATGTAAGACAATCAAAAACTTACAAATAAGAATAATTAACAAGTTATTATGTCAACACAGATTCAACCACTATAAAATTTAAAGAACTAGAAAGACTTCTATCTAAATAGGCTTCAATTTTATTTGCCTCATTCCAAATGGCCAGATCTCAATAACATAAATCTAACTTTACTAAGTAAAGTTATATCCATTTTTTTAACAATTCCATTTTGTTTGTGTGTATAAGTTACGTTTCTATTCATGTTTGAGATATAGAACAATTATGGTTGAAAAAAGGTACCAGAACCAAGTCTCAATTTGGTCTGATTCTAGTTATTGTTTGGATCGGTTTTGGATATTTAAATCAAGAACCGACCAATTTGATCCATTTCTTTGTTCTATACGTAGAAGCGAAAAAACGTGTATAACCCTATATTTTTATTTTTATATATATTTTTTTATTGCTGGTTGAAGTGGTGGTCGATGCAACAACCATGTGGAACATTTTAAAGGTAAGTTCTTATTTTATGTATTATGATTTCTTTATTGTTTGATATGCAATCTTAAAATGTGTGCATTGAAAAATAAAAATGATGGGTACCTTTTCCGCTCAGATTAATTGAGCTTCTCTCTTTCCTGTATTATTTCCTGTTTCATCGATTAATATGTTCCGTCGATTTGTTGATTAGTATGGTTTTGAATACGTAGATATGATTTTACAATAACTGAGCCTAAAATATTTGTACTCCTCTTCTGAAAAAAATATTAATTTGTGCTTTGGAATTTTTATTATTTATATACATGAAAACAAACCGGACACGATCAAAATCGAATGATTTGGTTCCAGTTCAATTCTATAAATACAATGGTTACATAATTATGAATCTTACTGATTGTTGGTTAAATTTTCTCATTGAAATTGTATCCCACTCACCCTAAAATACCATAAAAGGCTTATACAAAGAAACATGTGGGAATCGGTAAAATTCATTCAAAATAAACAACAAATACTCATTCACCACCGAAGATATGCACACCGATACTTTGACATTGATTTATATTCGAATTGTCTGATTAACTTAATCATGGAAATATCGACGTTGGACAACTCTACATTTAAAAATTCTTACACATTTTAATCGTACAGAGATAACTAGAAGAGTATGGAATTAGCCCCATCCCCTTCAATTCTTACACCGAAGATATGCACACCAATACTTTGACATTGATTTATATTCGAATTGTCTGATTAACTTAATCATGGAAATATCGATGTTGGACAACTCTACATTTAAAAATTCTTACACATTTTAATCGTACAGAGATAACTAGAAGAGTATGGAATTAGCCCCATCCCCTTCAATTCCAAGAATATATTGAGGTTTTATTTTCTTCTCCCCGAGTTTAGTAAACAATTCTCAAAGTACATTAACTGTTGAGTTCGAGCATACCCTAGAATACCTACGTGGTCAAGTTCAAAGCCGTGTATGAAATGTAACAACACAATCCTATCGGATTTTCTCGCATCCATAAGCTACAAATCAAGATAAGATGATAAGTCGACGTGGCAAAATCATACAGTATTTTCACTTCCCTTACCGAAAACACAAAATTCTTTCTATTCCCACAATCTAAGCCATGGCTTCCACAACTTTGATCACCCCTACAACTTCCACAACAAAATCCCTCATACCTATCAGATCAAAACCCACCACCACCACTGCCACAACCACATTATCCACTCGTCGTCGCGAATTTTTATCTCTTGTGGCTGGTTTTGCCTCCCCAGTTTTACTCCTGCCAGTAACGCCTGCCCGGGCCGCCTTGGAAGACGAGTACGTAAAGGAGACGGAGGAAGTAATCAATAAGGTCAGAACCACCATTACTATGGACAAAAATGACCCTAACATAGATTCTGCTGTGGCTCAGTTAAGGGAAACATCCAATTCTTGGGTGGCCAAGTATAGGAGGGAGAAGGCTTTGCTGGGCCGAGCCTCATTTCGCGATATCTATTCGGCACTTAATGCTATTTCTGGCCATTATATTAGCTTCGGCCCAACAGCACCAATCCCGGCTAAGAGAAAGCAAAGAATCCTTGAAGAGATCGACACTGCTCAGAAGTCTTTGTCAAGGGGAAGATGAAAAGGGCTATTTTGTGAATTGTCAACTTTTTTTGGGTGTATTTGAAGTTTCGTAATTTACTTATGAGGCTTAAGATGCAATGAGGTTTATCGTTTTCATTTCTGAGAAGAGAATAATATATATAAATATTTCAAAAAGTGTAGAATACTTTTTTAGTTACAACACGTTTGATTGAAAAAATTAAATAATAGTTGACATTTAAACAAAAAGAATTTAAAATATTACTTATACTAATATTCGATTCTATCAATATTGCGCGATACACGTATTGTTAAATTAGCATATGGGTGACATAATTCCGTCTTATAAAACTTGGCAAATTTTCAATATTCCATGGAACTCTCAGTCCGGTCTGATCTTAGATAGTTGATTTGTGATCACATAAATGCACATGACAAAAGAAGAAACATATTAAATATTGTTATGCGTATTTGAGTATGGGCATCCTTATTTAAAATTAAGAAAAATTGGTTCACATCACAAGTTTGTAACTTATCCTTATTGTAGAAATATTAAAAGGTGATACTAGCACTTAGGCTATGTTTGATAACTCCCTTTTCCATGGAAAAGGGAATTTAAATTCCATTTTCCTTCCATTCGCCTTGTTTGATTGGCAACATTTTCTAGGCAATAGAATTTCCATTTTCCATGACACCTGACTTGTTTTCTACCATATTGAGGAATTCATTTTCTTGTGGGGTGGGGGGTATGGTTTTTGGTTTTCCAGGCAACTGGCAACTTTTATTTATTTATTTTCTTTCCAATAGAAACAAATTCTATCACCAATTGTAAAAGATGATATCCTTTAAATTGACAATTTTAATGCAAAACCTTACGAATCTCAAAATATACTTTTATTTTAGCATTTTTCACATGAAAAATTATACCATTTAAACACAAAAATTGACAATTCTAAAAAAAAATAATTTTTAGGCAATTCAATTTCCTGAAATTCGTTTTCTTTCCACCCAAATTTCATTTTTGCAATCAAACGGACTCTTAGAGTATATTGAAGGGATCAAGTTTCAAATTTAAATACCACTTGATTGTCGAGTATTTTATCTGAATTCCTTTAGAGGATAGTGCATATTTTTTCGTGAATTTAATGATTATTTGATTCAAGAATATGTGAGATCAATTTGATTTATCAAATATCTTGGTAAATTGGATTTTTGAGAATGAGCGGAGCAGAGAACACGAATTCGTGTCAAGAACCGTCACCTTTTAAAATGGGTAAAGTAAATATTTAAGTATTTTCTGTTGAACAATCATAAATCTAAGATAATATTTATTGCAAAGGGTAAACTTCGATATCTGTGGTTATTTCACAAGTCTATTGAACAAATGGTAATTAATTTAGTGAAAATAATTGGAGGTGCAAGACGGTCATTTATGCTTATATGTAATTAATAAATGTCGGACAAAGATAAAATATATATACAATAAGTTAGATGAAGTGTTACAGATATATATTAGATTCTACGATCTTATATATTTCGCAAGCAGTCTTGTGCTTTCAGTGAAAAAACAAAGATTAATCATTAGATTTGATGGTCTATGATCATTTAGATAAGATCTAATTATTGGATTTTGAATATATAAGTCCAATTCGACCCCCATGGTAGTTTGAAAAGTTTTAGACTGAATTTATAATTACATAAGCAGTCTTCTATTGCCTAGATAGGTATCTACTAGTCAGTTAGGAGATTGGAGCACTTGACTAGATTCATACATCAGAAACAGTTATTCACCAATCTGGTGATCCCTTATATATGAGGGCCAAGAGGTCTTTCTTATACGATAACCTTATCCAATAGATCAAGAGCAGGATTGCAAGTTAGGTTTCACGATTATTATCGCCTAGGAGCCGCATTACTATGCTGAGGTCCGTACTCTTTTCTATACCCTCTTCTTTAGATTATCTAGCCTCCCAAAGCTGTACTAAAGAAGTTAGAGAGCATTTTTGTGATCTTCCCTTTTGGACTTCCAAGGATTAGGGAGTGGCATCTACACTGGAAAAAATGTAAGGATACTTACCTTTCTACCGATGAGGGTGGATTAGGTTTTAGGAGACTACAGGATGTGATTGATACTTTGTCGTTAAGACTTGGTGGTTATTCCCTTCTTAAAGATCGTTATGGGCTCATTTTTTATTGAGACAAAAATTTCATGGTGATATATCCTTCATTTGCAGTAATTCTCTGTTCAGCCTCTCCTATTTCGAAAAGGCTGAAGTTGGTAAGGCCATGGACGGAGCCATATATTACACAACATTTTGGGACTGGCCAAATATTCTTCTAGCATGATTGTTAGATGGGCTATACTACTCTAATGTCCTTAATCCCAAAGGTAGCACACGTTTGCGAGAGTGCATGATTTTTATGATTACATTAGTTGGGATATTGGATGATTACTATAGGCTCTTTTATCACTTATAATAGAGCAGATTGGGGCTATTCTTTTATGTGTTGATGTCCCAAATCAAATAGTTTGGAAAGAGACAACTAATGGTAGCTTTTCTACCAAATCTACTTGGCAGTTAGTCCGATCGAGTCAACAGACTCAAAATTCATACCAAGTAATGTAGAGCACCTAATAAAGTGTCCTTTTGTTGGAGATTGTGGCAAGATTTAATTTCAATTGATATAGTTGTTCAAAGGATGATTGGTTGTCACATAGTTTTCCAATGCGAGTGTTGCTTGGAGATTAAAACTATCCACATACCTTCCCAGGCAGTGCTATTGCTGGTATGGCTACACTTTTGGTAATATATTTTAGATTTTTGTGTAGTTAGGTAAGGAGTCAAACATCGATTCTAGAGATATAGAAGTTTTGGTCAACATATTCGTTACGATCACATTCTCACTATCATTAATAGATTTTCTAGTTTCTATGGATCGAGAGGAATGATGCGAAGCATGAGAAGATTCACATGATGCCTAGACGAATTATTTGGAGGGCTACCACATGATTTCATTTCTAAACATAGGGTCAGTTGTTTCGATCTATACATTGATGGGGAGATTTAGCTCTTATTTCACTATTTGGTATCTCTATTACCCTCCCTTCCTCATCAATCTCTATATTGGTTCTTTGATGCATCCATCAATAGTTTGTTACACGACCAACACTCATAGATGTATAAATGATGGATTTGTTAGCGGTGGGGTTATTATACGAGACCAAGCTAGATAGTATACCAAGGCTCTATTTTCCCTTTCGTGTTTGCATTATTGTGGAGGCTGAGCTTCCAGCCATATTAGATGGATTATTCTTACCAAATGACTAGGGATTTTAGATATTAGGTTGAGCCTAATTCGATTGTGGTTCTTTACTGCATCATCAAGGGTTTGGACGATGGACGATACAGGGTACCCTTGGACATAATAAACATCCCATCTCTTTTGATTGTGATAGTAGTTCCCATATCACCGTGAGAGAAACCAGGTTATAATTCTCTTACCTTAGAGGGACGGGACCACCATCACTACCAAGAGTATGGACACAAAACCTTCTTTGACAACTCATGGCACTTGTGCAGATTGATAAATATGGATTGTCTAACTTTAGAGGTTTGTAGGTTTTGAGTCATTTGCTTTCATTGTATATGGAGTAGTACTCCTCATTTACTGGTTTTTTTTTTATTACATCTTTCACTATATTTAGTGGTTTATTACTTTTTGGACATCAGATTTATGTCCCTATCTTTCCATGTGTTTTTGTTTTTTATAACACATATGGTTAGGGGAATCCTAATCCCATCGATCTTCCTTGATGGAGTCTAAAAACTCATTAAGGATGTATGGATGTCTTTGCTAGAAAAAAGAAATAAAGTAGCTTTTGTATTATTGTAGTATGATAGATCTGCATGTGTTTTCAAGCATCATGTTTTAAATTATTATTTATTGCTCAATTTTAATATACAATGCATTTTCATTTTTTAGTAAAATGTCATTGTTATCTTCTAGAGAATGTGACGACGACGAAGGTGGAAATGGTCGGGGTAAAGGTGGTAAAATCCTATTGAAGAAACTTCTACAAAATGCTCAAGTACAATCGCTTCTTTACTGTAATGATAGACGCTGATGGTCAGTAAGTAACAGAGCTGATTACTTACTTTTTGGTGGTAGAATCACAATCAATCCTCCAACTAATTTGAACAAATGAGTGATATCCTTTTCTTGTACTAAGGCATGTAGTTTTTTATTATTATTTATGCATTGTCTACCTGTTCTTTTTACCGAAAAACTTTAAGTTATAATTATCTGCCTCTTTATTTTCTTTTATGCTATTTGAGTGTATGTCATTTATTGTGTATGTGTTGTGTTTGGAATGGCTAAGTCATTAACATTAGCCTATGCCAAGGTTGTTTGGTCCAATGATCCAATTTTAAAGACTTACGTTGTTTGTCTAATAATTGTTGTTCCAATGGGAATATGTTCGGACAACCCATTTGAGAGTTTATCCTCATCAGAAGCGATTACCTAGTGAATTTACAAAGGTGGGTATATTGCATGAAGAAAGTAGGTTCAAAATTTTTATGGAGACAGTCTAAATTAAATCGTGGCTCCCAATCTATAGTGACTTCTGAACGAATACCTATTGAATTACAGAGATAAATATGTATTGAAAATAATATCACCGTGTTTGCGAGCCAGCTAGCTGGTAATTTGTGAGCTGAGCTCGTCCTCAACTCATGAGTAAAGAGCCTAAAATGGCTGCTGCTTTAAGTCATGCAGGTTGCATAGTTTGATGGCACCTTGCAGCATGGTGCCATCAATTCAGAAAATTTGAATTTTAAATTTAGCCCCTATTTGATGGAGATTAAAATCAAAATTTAGTATATTTTCATAAAAAGCTTATGAAATGTGTGTTTGAAAAATTGTTGGTGCCAAGAAATATGAGATTAAAATTAATTGTTAACTTTAACTTTAATAAAAATTTAAATTTTAATCTAATGTACATGGGCTTTTTTTTTGGTGAGATTATTTGTTATCTTGGAGATTATTATTGTGGTATTCTCAATTTGTTGAGAATTCAAGTTTTGGTGCATAAATTTGAATATTGTAATCTTTATTTATTATAATGGATTTGGCCAGAGTTGCCTCATGATTTTTTTTCCTCTATACTGGAGGAT